GAGGCCGAGAGTCGGGACTACGAGGAGGAGAAGGATGAAGAGTACGTGACGATGGTGCCGCTGCCGGGGCACTTCGTGGGCGAGGGCACCACGGGCGGCCGCAGCACGGAGGGCGTCAGCACGGGCCGCCACAGCACGAACAGCCGCATCAGCACGGGCGGCCGCCAGAGCACGGGAGGCCGTCAGAGCACGGGCGGGCGGCAGAGCACAGGGGGACGCCAGAGCACGGGCGGGCGACACAGCAGCACGAGCGGGCGGCACAGCAGCGACCACAGCAGCAGTAGCAGTCGGCGGCGCGAGCGTCGTCGCCGGCGGCACCGCGAGGACCCCCTCTACCCGTACCTCCGCGGCGGCCCGGTGGACCAGGTGGACAGCGGCGGCCGCTCCCTCCTGCACAGCGCGGCGCACCAGGGCGACGCCTCCTGGTGCGCCTCCTGCTGGAGCGCGGGGCGTGTCTGGGCCTGCAGGACAGGGCGGGCCAGACGCCGCTCAACCTGGCGGCGCGACATGGCCACGCGGAGGTGGTGGCCACTCTGCTGGGCGCGGGCGCCGACCCCGACCACGCGGACGCCGACGGCTGGACCGCGCTGCGCTCGGCGGCGTGGGGCGGCCACACGGGCGTGGTCACGGCGCTCCTGGCCGGCGGTACGCAGGTGGACTTGGCCGACGGCGACGGGCGGACGGCGCTGCGGGCAGCCGCGTGGGGCGGCCACGAGGACGTTGTCGCCGCGCTGCTGCGGCACGGAGCGGCGGTGAACCGCGCCGACAGCGAGGGCCGCACGCCGCTCATCGCCGCCGCCTACATGGGCCACTCGGAGATCGTGGAGATGCTGCTGGACGCGGGCGCCGACGTCAACCACCAGGACGTGGACGGCAGGACGGCGCTGAGCGTGGCGGCGCTCTGCGTGCCGGCCAGCGAGGGCCACGGCAGCGTCGTCATGACTCTGCTGGAGCGCGACGCCGTCGTCGACCACCAGGACCACGACGGCCTCACGCCGCTGCTCGTCGCCGCCTTCGAGGGACACACGTGAGTATTGGCGACCGCTCATAAGGGGGGGAGGAGGCCGGGGAATAAATCCGAAATCTCGCTATAATGGTCCCCTTAATTTTGTTGGTCGTTTGTGATGATGCTCTGTGATATATATGATATAATATTTTTAGTACGGTGTAGGGATTTTAATATGGTTTCTGTCAGTGTCTCGGGACATTGAGTTTGCCTGTTTGATCTAATGCCCTTAATCGATCCCTTTAGAGTCTCAGAATCTGACTTTTTCACGGCCTTCCGCAGGGAGGTGTGCGAGCTCCTGCTGGAGTACGAGGCGGATGTAGACCATGTGGATCGGTCGGGCAGGACGCCCCTCCTGGCGGCGGCGTCGATGGGGCACGCGGCCGGTGGTGGAGCGCCTGCTGTTCTGGGGCTGCTACGTGGACCACATCGACGCCGAGGGCAGGACGGTGCTGAGCGTGGCGGCCGCGCAGGGCTCGCAGGTAAGGGCGCCGAGCCGCGGGAGACGCCCTGGCCCGGGCGGCGCGGGCTCTGCCTGTTGTTCTTGGCGCCAGGGGTGCGGGTGGACAGGAAGTGATAGTTGGTCTCATTTTTGCATGCAAATTCAGTTTATTGAAGCGTTTCTTTTACTCCTTCGTTTGTCACTCTTTCAGGAGACGTGCGGCTCCTGCTCGACCGCGGGCTCGACGAGACGCACCGCGACAACGCCGGGTGGACGCCGCTGCACTACGCCGCCTTCGAGGGCCACTGCGAGGTGTGCGAGGCGCTGGTGGAGCGGGCGCGCGCGTCAACGAGGTCGACAACGACGGCAAGCACGCGCTGGTGCTGGCCGCGCAGGAGGGCCACGCCGCCGTGGTGGCGTCGCTGCTGGACGCGGGCGCCAACATCCACCACACGAGCCACGACGGGCGGTCGGCGCTGCGCGTGGCGGCGCTCGAGGCCACAAGGACGTGGTGCACCTCCTGCTGTGTCGGGAGGCGGACCTGCACTACAAGGACGCCGACGGGCGGTCGACGCTGTACCTGCTGGCCCTGGAGAACCGGCTGGACATGGCGCGCTTCCTGATGGAGAGCAACGCCGACGTGGAGAGCACGGACCTGGAGGGCCGCACGCCCCTGCACGTGACCGCCTGGCAGGGCCACGCCGACATGGTCGCTCTCCTCCTGCAGGGGGGCGCGCGCGTGGACGCGGTCGACAAGGAGAACCGGACGCCGCTGCAGAGCGCGGCCTGGCAGGGCCACGCGGAGGTGGTGCGCCTGCTGCTCGAGCACGGCGCCAACGTGGACCACACCTGCTCGCAGGGCGCCACGGCGCTCAGCATCGCGGCGCAGGAGGGCCACGAGGCCAGCGTGGCCGTGCTGCTGCAGTACGGCGCCAACCCCGCGCACTCGGACCGCTGCGGCGCACGGCCATCAAGGTGGCGCTGAAGGGCGGCCACATCCACGTTGCGCGCATGCTGGAGGAGAGCCTGATCCAGCAGCAGCAGGCGGGCGGCGTGGGGCGGGGCCTGGCGGCGCCCTCGTCCGTCGGCTCGGGCTCCACGGCCGAGACCAAGCCCTGCTCGGCGCTGCTGTGCCCGGGCCTGACGGCGTCGCCGGCGGAGTCGCCCGAGTCCACCTTCGAGAAGCGCCGCTCCGTGGCGTCCCTCGGCCAGCACTCGTCCTCCAAGTCCTCCGGAAACCTCACCACTTCCACACATTCCTCGGGCGGCCCGCGCGCCCCCACGCCGCGCGAGGCGCACCTGCAGCAGCACCAGCAGCCTCTGGCGCCGCCCGCTCCGTCGGCGCCCCCGCGTCGGCCATGTCGCCTGTTCTCAGCTTCACGCAGCAGCTGCAGCAGTGCGGGCGCGGGCGCGGGCGGCGCCACCCGCCCCGCCGCAGCCCGCCCTCACCCCGCTCGACGAACCCGCGTCGCCGCTCTACGCGTCTCCCCGCTGTCGCCGCTGAGCGACGGTCCGGGCGGAGGGCGACACTTGCCGGCGGGCGCCATCCTGGAGGACGACTACACCGTGCCCCTTCAGCACTCCGCGGTCAGGCCGCCGCGCCCCTCCGCGCCCCCCGTCAGCATCACGCCAGAGGTAAGCAGCTGCGGCTTTGCGCGGCAGACCTTCGGGCTCCGCGACGCCCTAGGGAGAGGGGGTAAGATCCCAGGTTTTCTTAGTTGGGAAACGTGTGTCAGGGGGATTCTCTCTTCGGTTAGTAAGCCTCTGCGCATTGCGAGCCTTCCCCGGCTGTCGAGCGCAGCTGGATCTGCCAGCTGTGGTTTGCCTCGGCGGAAGTTTCCCTTCCTTAGCAGCTTGCATGAACGCTCAGAGATTAGGCTGTGGTTGATGTAAGCGCTGCGGTGTGGTTTTCATGGCTGCACTAACTGCCGTAGGATTGACTTTGATGAGAACTTATTAAACATATGCAAACAGGTGTCCTTCCAGGTAAGACTGAGTAATCCGCCGCCCTTGTGACGCACTTCATGTCCTTCATTATTTTGCAAGATCGGTCGTCGAGGCGGCGGCGTCCTCAGCGGTGGTGGAGGCGGAGCGGCGTCGTGCCCGGGCTGGGCGGCATCCCCGGCATGGGCGTGAGCGTGCCGGGCGTGGGCGGCGCAGGCTCGCCCGCTCCTCCGGCTTCACCTTCACTCAGGACCAGCACATGCGCATCATCCTGGGCACACGATCCCCCGAGCCGCGCCCGCGCCGCAATGGCATCGTCACCAACCCCAGCCTTAAGGCCGCCCATGCGAAGGCCGCCCACCTCCTCAGGAACGGCCTCAGTGGTCGCCTCGACAGCCACCAGCGAGGCCCAACGGCCTGCCGCTCAAGAAGGAAACGCCGCTATGACCGTAAGTTGAGGCTTCTTGCCGGGTCGACGTCGGCCCAGGGCTTGCAGCCGGTCACACACGGCTGTGGAGTCGACGGTTCCCTCACGCACGCACATGCACGCAGTACACCCTCACTCGTTCATCCTCTAATCACTCACCGATTCATTCATTCGTTCATTCTCACTTATTCAATCACCAATGATTTACCTTCTGTCAATCATACACTAACACATCCTTAACTATTAATGAATTCAGTAATCAATCACTTATGGTGCCCATCATCTTTTACTCACTAAATTCAGTCATGCACTCTTTCTGTCACACTCACTCGATTACTCACTTGTCCACACAGCCACTCATTGCCAGACTCACCCATATGCGTGCTTCACAGTTACAACTTAATTTTCCCTTATAGACAGATCAGCACAAATAAGCAAGATTAAAAGTGCAATTGACAAAATGGTAAATTATTGAAATATATATCCAATGATTAAGGATTTGTAGGACAATTTTGAACTTCAGCTGTCTTAGTTATCTCGATACTTGCAAATTAACTATAGTATAATTTTAGTTGTTATATGGTTTTGAATTTTGGTAATTTTAGTGCTCTTGCAGTTTGACAGGTGTGGTAGTAACTCATGTGAAATGCTAAAGAGCTGAATAGAAATGCTGAAGAGCTGTTGTGGTTTATGCGTGGTTTATGCATGCATGTATTTACTGAAGCTTTTTGGCTAATTTAGCCCTGGGAGAGGAGAAATGGAAATTGAAACACATTGTAACAGTTGATTTTACTTTTACTTAAATAGATTATAACCATGAAAATGGAATTATAAATAAAGGCCAATAATTTTTGCTGAAATATTATTCATAGAATGTAAATGGTCTTTATACTCCTATCAGCTTAGGAAAAAAAAATGCCATAAAGGGCAAGACTAGCACTACACCTATTGAATTTATATACATTTTCTTTGATATCATGAAATATCATCATCTCACATACTTGCAGAAAGACGAGGATGGAATGCAGTGATTCCCGGCCACAGCACCAAGGATTCCAATGAAGATGCACCACTGTTACTACCGACTACTGAAGAAATAAAACATTGTCCACCTGAAGAGCAGTAAAAACATCACGGATAAGCTTTGATGCCTCAGGATAGCGACTAGAAAAAGAACAGAAAATAGTGTTCTTACTTCTGACAAGCCTCTTGCAACAGATACATACAAATAAGGTATGGAAAGCAGTTTATTTTATATTGTTATTATTGTTAGATTTGTTGATATATATATGAATCACTGTCTTCTAGTGTTTAAAGAGAGATTTGGGAAAATATTTAGTTAATTTAGCAGACAAATTGAGTTTCAACTGATTGCAGTTTAGTACCTTTAAGTTATAATAATACATTAATGAGCAGTGAAATTATCTGAACCTTTTTTTTCTATCCAGGTTGTTTCTGGTGTGGGTCAAAGAAAGCTTTAGGAAAAGTGAATGAAATTAAAATGCAGGCTTTCTTACCAAGACTTGTAGGACATGAAAGAATGCAGACACGTCAGTTCTCTGTTGATGGTAATAACTTCTATCATAGTAGTGGATAACTAGTTACAGAACAAACAAAGACTATGATAAGAATGAGTGCAACAAAGCAGTGATATCGTAACAGTGGTGGCATCTTTAGTGTCATAACGAGATTCAGAAGCACTCGCATGAAGTTCAGGTTAATGAACCATGGAAAGTGCTTGTGTTTGCAAGGGTAACCACACCCATGTGATTGGAAGTTTATTTATTATATAATTTTTCTTTTTCAACTTGAAAATAATACATTGTCTTCTGTTTTATTAATGAGTGAAGGTGAATATTGGTCATTAAAAAAAGGTGAAGAAAAAAAAAAAAAGGCAGAGGAAGTTGACTGGTAACATTTGCAAACACAACTTTGGATCTCTGTGTCACATTTACCGTCCTGGTGCCAAGATAGTGACAATGCTCAGTACAGCGTTTTATCCGCTTGTCTGAGACCCCACACCAAAGTTTGTGCAAGGTTGGCTTGTATGTCAGTTTGAAATCAAGATAAATTTCCCCATCACTGTAATTATGTTCAACTGGATGCGAATTTTGGATTCCTCAGTTCTCAAAGCTAAGACAAAGTAGGACAAAGGATGCACAGATTAGAAAGATAACAGTATGAGTGAAATGATAGTACTTTTTCTTTTAATTTTATTCTACCATCCTTCTTAACGATGCACAGATTGCATGAAAAGTGATAAGTCTTAATCAAGATCTCAAAGTGGTATACAAGCACATCCAAGTGTGTATTGTTGCCTGTTGTATCCTAACTGTATATAGCGGAACCTATCCTAGTCGTGTAGTTCGCTGTGCTGTACCCCATAATGTGCATTTGTAAAAAGTATTCTCCAGCACATGTACAGTTAGCAACATAACCTTTCATGAACATATTACAGTGTGCGATGTAATAATGTACAGCTCTATAACTACGATAATATAAGAATTTGGTTAGTGTAATATGATATTAAAAGGAGAACCATGTCGCTGTGGGGTAAAAAAAAATTTGTTTCAGCCATTTTCATTTTCCTTATACACAATAAAGGAAAAAAGAAATCTGTTTTGTTAAGTAACATCAATTTGTATGATTTTACTAAAGTTGTTTACCAAGAAAAAGTAATGCAATGGCAAATTTAAGAAATATACGTTGTTGTTTTTTTTCTACTGTAAAGATATATATATATATCAATGTGCACAAATATTTGGTACATACTAATTGCTGTGAAAGAATTTCTACTGAATGGAAAAAGAAAATGTATATTTAATGATTTTTTGTGGTCTTTCACTAATAGTTGACATGTATAGGTAAAATAACACTACTGATATTGTAAGATATCAGCTTTTGGATTAAGTTATTATTTATTTGGAAGAGTAGAAACTAAAGGTACATTTTGTAATAATTAAATTACTTAGGGCAAGATCTAAGTATGTTTAATTGCAACTGTAGTGTTCACTATCATTTTGCTTAAATTGTATAAATAATGAGTGAGAAGCCATCTTCTTTATCATTTGATACATATCTCATTTGGTATTGCATATCTTAGCTCTTACTTGTGAAGCAGTAATGGAAAAAAACGGACTCACATTAGGCAGTTTACTGATGTTGTGTTATTCACCTTTTTTCTATTATGTGCTATTTATGCTTAGAATAAATTTTGTATGTGTGGGAGAAAAATAGTTTATTTATTCATTATTTCACTACGTATAACAAGCTAGCAATATATTTATATGGTTAGTCTGTAGTGGGAAAAAAGTGCTCAGAGAAAAAAGGAAAACAGTTATATCAATTTACTTCAGTGTCACAAAACATTCATGGCAGTTGTGGTCATGGAAATGCAAGATTCTAAAAAGAAAAAGGTGGATACTTCTTTAGATCAGCTCGCTACTTTACAAAACTTTGTAATACAGCTAATTAATTGTGCTCAGAATTAGAGTTGTAATAGGTTAATTTTCAGGTATATTTTGAAATGACAAAGAGCATATAATCATTCTACGTATGAGCTCATTTGTTTATGGTAGCTTCTTAGACGTTAACATTGCTTTTTCAGTACCTGCAAGCTCTGAAAATAATGGTTTGTTTAGTTACACTACCATAAGCTTCATTTGGAAACCAGTTAAAAAGTGATATGGTAAACTATTTTCACTAGTCACTTCTGACGTTTGACTATTTGGTCAGACTGAAGAAGAAGGCCTTGTTGATATTGTGTAATGATGTAATGGGAGTCGTTTCCATTATGTAGTAGGGTATTGGATGGTGTATTCCCTGCAGTTTCTGATTCCTTATTTACCTTCTGATAAGCATCTGATAAGCAAGCTTTAGTTCAGATTGAGAAGCAGAATTTTTTTCCTAATTTAATGTTAATTACACAATGCAAGTAAATTTATATTCATATCTGAATATGCATTTTGTAGTCTGTACGTATGAGTGTCTTCATCTGTAGACTTGTTCTACAGAATTACCCTGTATTTATTTTGTACAGTATTTTGTAATATGTAAAGCTTATTTCCTTACATGTTACATGTTGTAGCAGCAGTAGCTTAGCTTCAAAAGTTCAGGCCAGCTTTAATATCTTTTTGTTGTATTTTATTGTAAGGACTTATCATGTCCAAAGTGAACATTCATTTCTGATGTTCTACTATGGTGACAATGCCAGAACCACACTGCCAAGACTGCAGTGGGTTCTGCTCTCTTGGTACTGTATTATTGATGATACAGTACAATATAATACAAGCAAGTGAAGAGTAAACTTACCCCCCTCTTTTTTTTTAGCAGGTTTGTCTCAATAAACATTGCTGGGGCATGTGGACTATAAAACGCTCAAGCTTTGTATCTAAACACATTTTTGAGTTGGTGCTTCAGTACAGAAAAAAAACTTAATTGTTATTCAATTCTTGTTGTATCAAGTAGGTCAGTTGTAATGGCCTAACATACTGGCATTGTAGTCAGTATTATATACACACAAAAACAAAATAAAACAGGATAATTGACTGTGCATCATGTATTATGATGTTATGTTTGCATAACCAATGTTCCATGTAGAATGAAGCAAAGTATTTTACAAAGAAGTGAATGAATCAGTCAAGACAAAATTACCGTAAGTCAGTGTTCCCACTAATATCTGTATAAGTCAGGATTACCAACATATTTTGTCAGAAAAGCATTCTACAGATTGATGCCAACAGAAGCTCTTGCAATTTTCCATTCAGGTGAAACTTTCAGAATTAGGGATTTCTTACAAAATCTATATAGACATTAATATCATTTTATTTTTTATTTTTTTTATACCTCAAACATTTTTTTGGTTCCATATATTGCACTTCTCTCTCTCAAGTGATACTATTAAAAAGCCATAGTGCAGAAATACTGCTCTTTCTGTTCATGTAGCCTTTGGCTGTAATCCTGTTTAACGATATGTATTGTTAGGCATTACTTGATGTAATTCCAAGAACAGTGAATAAATGATAATCCTGTTGGCATGGTTGTTTTACAGTTCCTGATACATTCCTTATGGTGCATGTATATGGGTACGTACACATCATAATAAACATAAAAAACCATATCCACTACTCCTAACATTTATTGAATCTTACGTTTTTTGAATGAACTAGTAAAAATGCAGATTGCTTATTATTTTTATATTTGTAAATTCATGTATCTTCTATTAAGAAATGAAAAGAGAACATTTACAATAAATAATATTTGGGGCATGTTTTCTTTCCATAGAGAAAAAATAAAATTGCAATAAAAAGTTAGTTTCCTTCTTGCCAATACTGTAATTAAATCAAAGTTGGAACCTAAACTGGAATCTCTTTCCTTGTGAAGAATTCTGTGCAATAGGTCTAAAGACTAATTTTTTTTTCTACGGATTGTTGTCTGTCGCTTAAGTCAATGTTTGTATACCTGCCTGAGGTTGTTATCTTTTATCTGTATGCCTGCCTGATGTGGTCAATGTCTGTAAGCATGCCTGGTGTGGTCTCTCTTTATGTTTGGCTGGCATGGTCTATGCTTGTATGCCTGCTTGAAGTTGTCTGTGTCTGTATATCTGCCTGAGATTTTCTGTGTCTGTATGCCTGCTTGAGGTTGTCTGTGTCTACATGCCTGCTTAAGGTTGTCTGCGACTGAATGCCTGCCTGAGGTTGTCTGTGTCTGTATGCCTGCCTGAGGTTGTCTGCAACTGAATGCCTGCTGAGGTTGTCTGTGTCTGTATGCCTGCCTGAGGTTGTCTGTGTCTGTATGCCTGCCTGAGGTTGTCTGTGTCTGTATGCCTGCCTGAGGTTGTCTGTGTCTGTATGCCTGCCTGAGGTTGTCTGCCTGATGCCTGCCTGAGGTTGTCTGCTGATTGCCTGCCTGAGGTTGTCTGTGTCTGTATGCCTGCCTGAGGTTGTCTGTGTCTGTATGCCTGCCTGAGGTTGTCTGTGTCTGTATGCCTGCCTGAGGTTGTCTGTGTCTGTGATGCCTGCCTGAGGTTGTCTGTGTTCTGTATGCCTTGAGGTTGTATCTGTATGCCTGCCTGAGGTTGTCTGTCTGTATGCCTGCCTGAGGTTGTCTGTGTCTGTATGCCTGCCTGAGGTTGTCTGTGTCTGTATGCCTGCCTGAGGTTGTCTGTGTCTGTATGCCTGCCTGAGGTTGTCTGTGTCTGTATGCCTGCCTGAGGTGTCTGTGTCTGTATGCCTGACTGAGATTGTCTGTGTATGCCTGCCTGAGGTTGTCTGTGTCTGTATGCCTGCCTGAGGTTGTCTGTATGCCTGCCTGAGGTGTCTGTGTCTGTATGCCTGCCTGAGGTTGTCTGTGTCTGTATGCCTGCCTGAGGTTGTCTGTGTCTGTATGCCTGCCTGAGGTTGCTGTGTCTGTATGCCTGCCTGAGGTTGTCTGTGTCTGTATGCCTGCCTGAGGTTGTCTGTGTCTGTATGCCTGCCTGAGGTTGTCTGTGTCTGTATGCCTGCCTGAGGTTGTCTGTGTCTGTATGCCTGCCTGAGGTTGTCTGTGTCTGTATGCCTGCCTGAGGTTGTCTGTGTCTGTATGCCTGCCTGAGGTTGTCTGTGTCTGTATGCCTGCCTGAGGTTGTCTGTGTCTGTATGCCTGCCTGAGGTTGTCTGTGTCTGTATGCCTGCCTGAGGTTGTCTGTGTCTGTATGCCTGCCTGAGGTTGTCTGTGTCTGTATGCCTGCCTGAGGTTGTCTGTGTCTGTATGCCTGCCTGAGGTTGTCTGTGTCTGTATGCCTGCCTGAGGTTGTCTGTGTCTGTATGCCTGCCTGAGGTTGTCTGTGTCTGTATGCCTGCCTGAGGTTGTCTGTGTCTGTATGCCTGCCTGAGGTTGTCTGTGTCTGTATGCCTGCCTGAGGTTGTCTGTGTCTGTATGCCTGCCTGAGGTTGTCTGTGTCTGTATGCCTGCCTGAGGTTGTCTGTGTCTGTATGCCTGCCTGAGGTTGTCTGTGTCTGTATGCCTGCCTGAGGTTGTTGTGTCTGTATGCCTGCCTGAGGTTGTCTGTGTCTGTATGCCTGCCTGAGGTTGTCTGTGTCTGTATGCCTGCCTGAGGTTGTCTGTGTCTGTATGCCTGCCTGAGGTTGTCTGTGTCTGTATGCCTGCCTGAGGTTGTCTGTGTCTGTATGCCTGCCTGAGGTTGTCTGTGTCTGTATGCCTGCCTGGGTTGTCTGTGTCTGTATGCCTGCCTGAGGTTGTCTGTGTCTGTATGCCTGCCTGAGTTTCTGTGTGTATGCTGCCTGAGGTTGTCTGTGTCTGTATGCCTCCTGAGGTGTCTTCTGTTGCCTGCTGATGTTGTATGTGCCTGTATGCCTGTTTTACGTTGTCCTGCGTGTACGTCTTCCTGTCGTCTGTCTGCATGTCTGCCTGCTTCTCGCTCTCTCTGCCTCCCCATTCCTCTCTCTCTCTCTCTTCTTTCTTCCTTTTCTCTCTTCCATCACTTTAACATACTCATACCTGTCTCTTCTTATCTGGCCTTATCTCTCTTCTTATCGCTTTCATCACCATTACTGCTGTGTCATCGTTCTTTTTTATCAGTAATACATACATGATATCTGAAAAAAGGAAGAAACGTGAGAGTGGGAAAATGATGAGAATTACAGATAATTACAAAAGAGGAGTAAGAGGGAAAGTATTGTGTAAAGATGCTTGAATATTATAATACTTTTTCTTTATTGATTACTTTGATTCTGTTGGCTTATTACTATTATATATATATGTGCGAAATGCTGAAAAGTGGACTTTATGATAATTATTTGGAATATAAAACATTTTCTTAGACATGTCAAATTTATCCTATTATCACGAGCATGTGAGCTGCTTTTTTCCTCGATAAAAGGAAGAAAAGAAGAAAAGGAGAAAAAAATCTATCTCTCCCTCTGTTTTAATCTAATTACTTTTCAGTAACCCCTCATTTCAGGACCAAAAGGAAAAAAATATGAACTGTTGTATAAAGACAATTGCAGGGAAAAAAATCGTTTATCTAATTGACATAAATTCAAACTGACAACTTACTACAAACCACTCAGAAATATTGTCTTTTTGGCGATCAACAAATACCATTGTATTATGTGTGGCACTGGCGTCCGACTACCACCATACTACCCTCTAGAACTGTTCAACCTGTAAATCCAATCATTAACTCATTCCTAACCCTTTTCGCTGCTATACTATACCATAGTGGTATATGACCTTGAAGTCTAGCACGTTTATTACAACCGTTATCCATTAACCAGAACTGATGTAAAGTGTTCGGGAGTTCAGGGTAATGTGTAGTCGATAATGGTAATAGCTCTCATTATCCCTAATCCAAAGGGGAAAGAGGTAACCTATAGAATCTCTCGAGGTAGAGGCAATGATTATATAGTATACGAAAGATTGGAAAAAAATTATTCCTAGCGTAGGAAGTATGTGCGCTCTGAAGCAGTTGCCAGCGCCATCTATTGTTCTGGTTAAGCACTTACCGATGAACACAGATATTCCGAAAGTTTTCCTATCTTTCGTATATTGTGACAGTATTTGGCAGAGGCTATACGTCGTTCAACGTTTGCCCGCTATGTAATTGTCTTTGTACACGAATATTTTCAATATCTATACAATGCTGTATAGCTGGCACACTTAGAAACGAGTTTTTGTGGGCC